TCACATATCTGGCATTCTAACCTTTACCCTTTCGCCTCTTGACTCTCCTGACTCGTGCTCTGATTTGCTTTGGCTTTGTTGTTGTCTTGTCTTCCACCTACAATCAACTGGAGACAGAGACTAAGAGGGAGAGGAAGAGAGAAAGAAAAAGAGAGAACAAAAATCATTCATGTTGTGGCCTGCCTGTCGATGTTTCGTGTTGCCCGCTGGCTTTGACATCATTTTTCTGTCATGTTTCCATGTTTTATGTCGTTATACCCTGTTTTCTTTTTTGGCTGGAGGCTTGCAAATGTGTTAGTTTTTCTGGAAACATTAATTTAATCTAACAAACTGACGATTTTAAATTGGCTTCTGGCTTTGGCTTTGGCTTTTGGTACCATCTTTCTGTTAATGTTCTTTAAAATTTTGAGAGCTCTCCTTTTTTCTCTTTCAATCATATCCACCGCATCATAGGGTATCCCTGCAGTAGAGAATAATTTCTTCTATTCTTTCGTTTGCTTCATTGGTTTGCATGTCACTTGGCCATCATCTGCTAGCAAAGCAGCCACAAACCGAAACCCAACTCAACCTAACTCTTGCTTGTCGTTTGGTTTTGCTTTTGGCTTTGGCTTTGGCTTTGGTTGGGGTTCTTTTGCAGTCGTTTGACGTTTAGAAATTGGTTATGGGGCCATTTGCGTACGAACAAAGTCATGCCAAAAGCGTTAAAAGGAAGACACGAGACGAGAACGAGGCACACACACACGCACACACACACAGGGAAAGGGAAGAAGAGAAATCGAGAGACTTCCATCGAAAGACCAAGAAGTTGCAGAGGAACGGTACGGAACGGATCGAAACGAAACAACAAAACGTTGAACGGATTGAAGGCAACACCATGGAGATGGCGTCATTAACGATCCAGCTTTTTGTTGTTGTTGTTGTTGTTGTTGTTGTCGTGACACACTTTGTGGCCAAACACACACAAACACACCCAGCTGCCGCACTGCCCCTGCATGTGTTCCAATTTGATTTTTGTGTCGAACACCTTGCCACAGATTGGGAGCACAAGAAGTGTGTAGAGTTCATTGAGCCACCGAAAAACTTTCATTGCAAAAAGGAAAAGGAAAACGTCTTCCCTCCGTTTCAATCTACGATCTGTGTCTGCCTGTCTGCCTGTCTTTCTGTGGATTTGACCCACTGGCTCGGACGGGATGGTGGGCACTGGATGGCGTCTAGAAAGTGAAACATGAAGTGGAACTGGCTTTTGGATTGCTTTCAGCATCGGCATCGGATGTCGGTCTATATGGGTGCGGCGGCAGTGCACTGCAACTCACTGGGCTACAATTTTCTATTTTCAAGTATCGAATGCGTTTGCCCCTCCGTTCACCATCGTCATCGTCATCGTAGTCGTTGTCGTTCGTCGTCGTCTTAGCCGTTTGTCGTTTGTTTGTTCATTGCAAAATGTTGCCTAACAACTTTCTATGAAAAAATTCACTTTTTCCTTTCAAGTGTTTTCTGGGTGCAGGGGAAACGGGAAGGGAGTTCCCCCTAAAAGCCGGGTTTTCGTTTGGGCTTTTAGCAAAACACAAAAAAAAAACAAAAAACAAAATCGAACTCGAATAGATTAACACATTGCCGACGTCTCCGCCGCTTCTTAGGTGGAAAAAAAAGGAAATTTTAGTCATCCAACAAATAAATAAACAAACAACTCAAAAGCCCGTTTTTTGTGACATGGCGAGACTCAAGACGATAGAATTACCCACAAGGCAAATACAACAGAAATATATAGTGTTTACAGGGATTATTTCAGTGGAGATCTTAAGAAAATAAGTCTGCATTCTCTGAGATTCTCTTTGCCACTTTTCGCTTGTGCAATTGCTGAGCAGTAATTTCCATTCCGGAATTATTCGACGGAATTCCCACAGCATACCCTCTCTCAGCCAGTACCCCGTTCGGATAAGCCGGTAGACGAAAAAAAAAAAATAAAACAAAAACCCGTTTCCAAGCAGCGTCCAGGCACTTGCCAATGTGAAATTACAACCAGATTTACCAGATGGGTATGGATCATACTCGTACACATGTACCATGTATTGTGTATACTCGCGTACACCCGGTAGACCCGTAAACTCAACAAAAATTCAATCAAAAACACTTGTTCTCTACAAAAATAAACCAAATATTATACGGAACAAAAAACAATGAGAAAATGGGTAGAGGTTTGTGGGGAATTTTGAACAAAAGAAAGACATCTTACAGCCGTTGAGAGAGCAGATATATACAAAAATATGTACAGACGTCATCTGATATATAAATACAACCAGAAGAAGTGCAGCTAAATATGTATTACATTCTTGATGTTGACGTTGATCAAGCCAAAGGCTGTGTCAGTCTGTTGGGCTAACAAAATGTAGCCTTTCAAGCAGAAGCTCTTAAAATCTTACAACAACTTCTTACAAAGAGTCCCGCGTTTTCCGTTTGTACCAATGACAGCATCAACGTTGGAAGAAAATAAATATAAATAATAAAAGAAGAAACATCTACAGCAATAATGAATTGACAAATCAACAAAGACAGCAGGCAGACAGACACACACAACCTAGATATATTCGTGATAGATATTACATGATGCGAAAATCCAAAGTTATGCTATAATTCTGCATTGTTCGGCCAGCGACTGTTTGCTGTTTGCTGTTTGCTGTTGCCGCTGTGAGAGTTCGAGCTGCTGCTGCTGCGGCTGCTGCTATTTGGAGCAGTTTTTTTGTTGTTTGCAGCAGCATTTCGTTGGCTTGTTTGTTTATTTTTTTTCAAACGTTTCGCATATTTGCCATAATTCCCATAAACCTAATTAAATGCGTGTTCATTCGTTCGACTTATGCAATGGAAAAACAATGCTGTGCTCTGACTCTGACTCTGTTGTACTGGAGGATTGCGGTTGCCCGTGCCCGTGCCTAATGCTCTCTATATACCAATAGATATTTGTATATTGTGTATATTTATATGCATCTGGGTCAGGCGGGGTCACCGCTCACCCCTCCCAACAACTAAAAAAAAAAGAGAAGAAAAGACAAATGCAACATGTTGTTTTTGGGGGCAGACGATGATGATTCGGGTGGGACAGCTGCAACATGCGGAAGCGCAGGGCATCGCAGGGCGACAACAGAAACAGAAACCAAATAAAGCAAATAAAAACCCTATAGAACCAATCAAGCCACACCGTCATATGTTACGACTAGAGGATACCTCAAGAAATCTATACAAAAAATGTATGTTACATCGATGGGTTACATACGTTAAAGATAGAGAAAGGTAGAAAAAGCTCCACCATTTGCAAGAAAGAGACCAACTTTTATCCACAGTCTGTACATTTTCGAGTCCATTATACCCACACAAAGTTCACTGGGTATGCCCAAACATATTGGTTCTTCTGTTTGTGGTTTAGTCGAACAATCTGCTTAGAAGGGAAGTCCGACCAGCCAGCCAGCCAGCCAGCCAGCCAGACATTGGTTCCATTCGCTCCGTTTGACACCCACACAATGCACAGAATGTTGATGCCACACACAGATGACGCATAGCATAAATTATTTTAAATTAGTTTTAATTGGCAAAATGTCTTTTTTGGTGCGCCTTAACATTTAATAATTGAATTTTCGTTTCATAAGGCAATGCGGATGCAGTTGCAGTTGCAGATGCAGATGGTTACAGAAATTGTAAGGGGAACCATTCGAAATTCGAAATTATTTGTAACATAATGAAGTCATTATTTGATGTTCTTAATGATAAGAAGTCACCCAAGACATATAAATATTAGAATGGGGAAATGGGGCTGCAATTTCTAGCACTCCAACATTTTGTGTAGATATTTTTTTTGATTATTTGAGCCAACATTGGCACGTCAGAAGTGTAAATGATCCGCGAATTACGGTCTCTGGAGTGTCTGGGTCTTACTTCATTGCCAGCCAAATGAATATCTTTCATGGCCAAGTTGTTTGTTTATAGACCAGTTTCACTTGAAAGTTAATATTATGCTGAAAAGTGACTGTCACACAAATATCAGTGGAAAAGTTTTGTGCCTTTGGTGTCTTAAATTCTTATTAAAGATTGATGGGTGGGTGGCTTGCAGCAAGCGCTCCGATTCTGCCTGAAATATTATCCACCATTAAAACGACTCTATTTCAGTCTATCTGTGCGAATAATAGCTTTTGTTTGTCATTCAATCCCTCCTCCCTTGATTAAATAAGAAACAGATCTCGTTGGGAAATGAATCTCTGAATCTAAATACGAATCTCTCCCTGGTTTGGTATTTGTATCTTATCTGTATGTGCCGTCCCCCACCCCCCTATGGACGCGTCAAAAATGCTTTACGATCCGCATCGAGAGATACAATAGCTTATAAAATGTTGGAATGCTCACGAAGCACAAACGGAGAGCAGAGCCACTATCATCGGAAGCGTCTTATCGTGAGGCGGTGTGCGGAGGGGGAAGGCCTTCATTCACTGCTCAGGAGATTCATTATTTGTTTTTCCAGTGTACCCCCCAACCCTCAAAACGGTAGCCATTTCCCTCTCTTGGTTTCGGTCTCGAGCTTCCAGCTCCACCTGTTGCCATGAGGCTCAGTGCACAAGAAAATCAGAAGAAAAGCAGAAGAACAAAAAAAAAAAAAAAAACGCTGACAAAGTGCATTGAACTCGAGAGCTCAAAAAGCGAGAAATTCTTATGCAAAAATCAAAATGAAAAACTACAGCGTGGCGACATCTAAAATACCCTTTCAGGAGAGATAAATTAGAAACAATATTTTGAAGGAAATAAGTTTCCCCCATCAAATGAGTGAGATTTTTCTTCATAAACTTCTGCGCAAAATACAATTTTTATATCGCATGGTTTGAGCACTTTTATAATAAGGAAAAAAACAAACAACTAAAGAGCAGACACGGACGTCTTGGGGCAACAAAAAATTAACGCAAAATTTGCTGAGCCATGATCGGTCGGTATGAATTACGGAGTACCATTACCAGTACCAGCACCTCTCTCTCTCTCTCTCTCTCTCTCTCTCTCTCTCTCCCTATCTCTCTGTGCTCTGTTCTGCTGTCTTCACAATTACTTACAATATTTATGTTAAATGTTAAATGGACAGACGGGCGCCGCCGGTCCGCTAGACTTGTGGAACTGTGAAAATAATTCGCTTCTTATAAGCCACAACAAAAACAAACGCATACAAAAACAAATGAAAAGAATTTCAACAAGTCAGGCTTGTTGTCGGGAGAAAGAGGAGTTTTTCTGAAGACCTAAAGGGGGAAGGGGCGAGCCAAAAGGTTTCCAGAGAGTTCAGAGAGCGTAATTGAGCGGAGTTCATGATCATTTGTACGTACACTTGTATGCGTGTGGCTCCACTAGAGATGACAGTTTGGGCGGTTATTCTAGTGGAAAATAGTTTACTTGATAAATAAATAAGTAACTCTCAGAGAAGGGGAATCAATTAGGTTTCGGGAGATGCTATGTGCCAGCCTTACTCTACTGTCAGTCTCTTTCTCTTCCCCAGTGTGGCTTAGCCATTAAGAATTTTTCAAATCACATTTTGAGTCATGTGTGGAAAGGATTTCCTTAGTCGTTTGATCTGCTCATGGTTCACGTGCTGCATCACGTGGCCATCCCTAGAATCTCGTAAAATTAAAACAGTTAGTTGTTGCTGCTTCTTGCACATTGTTATCTCATTCATTCTTATTGAGTGGGAGAGAAGTGGCAGAGGAGAAAGCTCTCGATGAAGAGGCTAAGAGCACGACCACAGCCGAATAGCTGGCTGATGAACAAGAGAGAGAGAGAGAGAGAGAGAGAGAGAGAAGGAGAAGAGTGTTGGTTCAACATGGTTACACATTCTCATTGTAACTCTTCCGCCTACATGAAGTTCTCATTCTTATTCGTATTCCTCTTTCTTCCATTGTTTCGCTTTGCCTTTTCCATCGCCCAGACTATTTTCAGAGGTTAGTTATGAATGATTTTGCACATCTGCACACCTCCACAGTGTACATTGAGCACATCTTTCCCATTGCTCTAATGGATATTATAAGTATTACATTTTAGGAATTGTTATTATGATCAATCCAAGTCATTATTGCATCTCAAACATATTCATATTGATGTTTTGATGATTTATATTGATTTAAAAATCGCTATGGGACAGAGTCGTGAATGAACGAATTGGATTGCGAAATCGAATGAATACATTTTCGTGATTTCTTTCAAGTTTAAAGCGCGTTCTGTCTGAATGAATGTAATGAACAACCCGGAGAAAGGTTACAACTGCAAAAGTATCAAAACCTGCGGCCTCTTCCTGCTTATTTTAATGTTTATTATTTGTTAATATTCACTGCATCTGCAGCAGCCACAGATACATAAATAGCATCTGGCTCTAGCTCCAGTTGCATGTGTGCCCCCGCTGTTTTATAAGCCACATGCAAGCGCCACGATCCAAGATCTGAGACGTATTGCCGTTGCCTGCCACCACCTGTCGTGTGATTGTGCGGCAGGTCAGTGTGATAGAGGTGCTGTGCAGGTGAGAGATCTTTCACACGACACGCTATCTGGGGGGGCTCTACATTTATCGGGTTATCTCAGCCCCAATCTATCAAACATTTGGGAGCGTCTTTTTTGATAATTTAAAAACTAATTTGTATGCTTACGTGACGTTTTTTGAGTTAATTTAAGCAAAGAACGTGTTTTTTTAGCATGCATCCATTGAACCCGGATAACTGAAATCTTTTGAATGTGGTGCAAGATTCTAAGCCTGTCTATTGGCATATTTTTGCCACCAATATTACATTTTGCAGCGCAAATATCCAACAAAATATGGGTTAAAAATGAAAATTGTATTAACTTTTCGAGGCTGTTTGATTCATGGCAATGCATTGCCCATACCTAAAGATGTGGTGTAATGTTTGGGCAGTGCCAAATGTATGCAACATATTTTTAAGAACAACTCTCGCCTCGATTTAGAGCGAAACTAGCGCGCTTTTGGGCGTTATCGAGTAGACGGTGCCTTATTGTTGCCTACTTTTGGGCCGATCAAATGAACTGCGCTGGAAAATGTAAAACTTTTCGAAGTAAAAACTACAAGTTGTAGGGAAAACATTATTATTATAAATTATAAATCAAATACTTACTTTTTCTTTTTGCAGAAACCGAAGGGGAGCTGACGCGGCTAATCAAAACTCTGCCCTGGGGCCCGCTCTACTGTGTCCTGCAGCAGGATGACCAAAGCTTTACGGCCTACTGCAGCGAGGAGATATCGGTAAGTGCAGGCGGCAGAAACTTAACTCTAGAAATAGAAACACAACACACAAATTAAAATGAAAGCACATCCAATCACAGCTGAAAGTAACCGTAAAGATATCACTTTGATTCGTACGAGAGTAAATCCATTATGTATCTGTATCTGTATCTGTATCCATTCTTGTATCTATCTCTATCTAACTTACCCGCCAACACACACACACACACACGCTAACCAACCTACTGGATGCTACTAACTTGTAGATATTCCCGGCTACGCCCAAAAAGGAGGTGGGTATACAGTAGAAAAATGATTAGATCGAGAAATCATATAAAAATCAATAAATAATCGAAGCATGTAAGACTCCATTCAACGATCATTCACTAATTGTTTTCTCTCTCACACTGTGCTTAGCTGGGAGACGTCTGCTATGAGGATGCGCCACGTGTGCGCCTGGATCGTGTCCGACGTCCGGCAAAAGCTCTCTGGGATGGACCGCCCACTTTGGCCGAGGAGAACGAGGACTCGGACACATGTGCCGGCGGCATGAGTGGCATCAATGACATTGTGCTCAATACAACCCTCTACACAGATCTAGGTGAGTGTCTCTATGTTTCTGTTTGTCTGTCTGTCTGTCTGTCTGTCTGTGTGTGTGTGCATGTACTGGTCTACAGTTATGCAACATTTGGTGGCAAGTTGGCCAGCAGGCAGCAATGCATTAAGCCCCCCATTGAGTGGTGCTCATCGGTAATTGCAGTTACCGCCCATACCCTATAACTTAAAACTCAAATGTGGGGGTATGTTGATATTTATACAGATACAAATCTCGATTCAACTTAAATATTCTTTGCTTCTTTTTACACGAATTTATTTAAACGATTCCAATTGTTCAATCTTAATCTGAATTCTATATCCGTATACCATTTAAAATAATTGAAATTCACTTAAGATCTCCGAAAGTGTATCCATAGTTTCGGTCTACGAAAAAATGTTATTATTTTTCGTTGTTTTGCTGTTGCCGTATTTATTTTGTTGTTTGGGTCCGTAATATACTCGTCGTATGCTTTTCGATCATATCCGAGGCATGTGTCTGTCTGCTTGTGCACGTATGGTGCATGGTGTATGGTGGAAAAGCTATAGTCAGGAAATTTGTTTGCATCGCATCGGTCGCTGTCGTCACGCATGCCGGAGCATTAGGCACAATAGTTGTCCGTGCTGCGGGGATGTGCAGGGGTTGGCATGAGTGAGTTTTCTTCTTGTGAAGGAGGGAAGATGGGGGTACGATTTGTGCTGTCCATCCAGGCAACACCAACGCCGAATGCAATATCGTTCGTTCTCTGCGCCATAACCTAACCTTCAGTGCTGTCTGTCTCTGTCGCTCACTCTCTCTCTCTCTCTCTCTCCCTCCGCCTCTCCACCGTTTGAGTTCTAGCTGTGTTTCACTTGTTCCAACGTTTCATCAATGGGCCGAACGTATAGAGAGAGAGCGAAAGAGCGCGGCTCTTACAGCGAAGCAGCTGACACTGCTGCTTAACTGTTTGCTGCAGTCGAGAGAGAAACGACGGCATTGGTTCAAAGAGAAAGAGAGAGACCCAGAGAGAAAAAAAGCTTCCAAATCAAGCAGCTGACAATGGTGCTTAAACCTGGCTCTGTCACGATACCTTTTCCATCAATGCGCACTTTTGCCATTTGCATTTTGGAGGGAGAAAGTGCTTACACAAAAAGTTTATGACTTATAACTAACAGAAACGAAGGTCGGTGCTCTATTTGGATTATCGTTTGGCATAATTAAAAGGCGAAAGGTATAAATCGGTTTTTATTTCGCATTTATTAATACATTATATATCACACCACTCCATACATTGTATGTACATACATCTGTCTCTTCTCAGCAGACTTGATAATATTAAGGAAAGATAATCCCAATCTTCTTTCTACCTTAGTACAAAATATTCATTCAACTTTCATGCTCGTATAGTTTTAGCCGAATCTTAAACATAATTAAATATTTTAGAGTATTCTGAAATAACATTATCTAGACTTCATTTACCGACGGTGTAAAACGTCTCGTGCAACAGCAGCATCAGAGAGAGCAGAGCAGAGCAGAGCAGAGCACAAATGCATTGAGAGAGTAAGAACGAGAGAGCGGCTTGGCTTGCAGCAGTCGAATGAGAAACCAGCTGACGCCGCCGAAGTGACCTTTTGCTGCAGCTACGCGCCGTTGCGCATGTTTTTGCTTTACGCCTCGTTTCCGTTTCGTTTCGTTTCACGCCGTTGTCTCCCACTCGTTCTCTCTTTTTCGCTCTCTCTCTCTCTCTGTGTGTGTCTCCAACCGCTCTCTGTTGCTGTTGCTGTTGCTGTCTTGTCTCATTGGCGTGCTCTCTGGCGTTCGTTTTGGGGTTTGTGGGGGTCTGGTCTGTCGCCTTCTTCGCCTACCGCCGCCTGGGCCGTCTGGGTCGCCATTCGACTTTAAGCTTCCGGCGCAGGCGGTTCGTACGGCACTCCGGTACGGTGGTACGTGTTCCCCACTGGGCATTGTTGTGTTTTTCTTGCTACTGCTGCTTCACAGCTGAGTGATTCTCCCTCCCCCCGGAGAGGCGTCTCCTTTCATAGCCAATAGACTTTACTTTTTTTTGGATGTGAATAATTTCGTGAATAACAGCGAGTAATGAATAGTGTTTCCATCCGGCAGAACTACGTACAAAAATGTATGTGCCATGTGTGCGTGTGTTTGTGTGTGTGTGTCATTTGCGTGTGATGCGAATTCAAAAATGTTCTAAAATTAAATGCA